TTGCTGTTGTCATTATCATTTATTGTTTTTATCATCATTATTATTATTTCTGTTGTCATTATTATTATTATTGTTGTGTCTTTATTATTATTATTGTTGTTGTCATTATTATTATTATTATTGTTGTTGTCATGTTTATTATGGTCTGGTGCACAGGGCGTGGTTCGGATCTGCGTGTTGGAAGCCAAGGATCTGAAGAAAGCCGACATTGGACTGACCGGGAAGGGGAAGTCTGACCCATATGTGGCCGTCAAAGGTGAGATGGCGGGTGGTTGGTGGGTGTCACTGGTGAGGTGGCGGGTGGTTGGTGGGTGTTTTTGGTGGGTGTCACTACTGAAGTTGTGAGTGATTGGTGGGTGTCTTTGATGAGGTGGTGGACGGTTGGAGGGTGTCGCTGGTGAGGTGATGGGTGGTTGGAGGGTGTCAATTAGAAGGGAAATTCAGACCCCTTATGTGGCGGTCAATTTCTCCTTGTTCCTCCTCATCTGTGGATGGTTGGCGGGTTCTCTGGTGTGGTTTCCTCCTTCTTTCCTATCCAACATCTATCATCCTTTTCTCTTCTCCTTCTTTTCTTTGTATGTTACTCTCGAGCAGCACCTCTTATCTTAGGCACTTATATGACCTAATTGTGCTGCAAGTGCCGTAAAACTTTTACTCAACCTCATCTGTCTATCCCCTATGTTAGAATTTTTTATTCCTCTTTTTTTTTTCCTTCTTATACCTCCTTATTCCTCGACATTTGTCTATCCCCAGTGGTAAGATTTTCTTATTCCTGTTTTTATTTCCTTCTTATACCTCCTTATCCCTCCTGATTCCTCCCCATCTGTCTGTCCCCAGTGTAAGAAATTCTTATTCCTCTTTTTTTCCTCCTTATACCTCCTTATTCCTCCCCCATCTGTCCGTTCCCAGTGTAAGAATTTCTTCTTTTCTTCTTTTTTCCTTCTTATACCTCCTTATTCCTCAGCATCTGTCCATCCCCAGTGTAAGAAATTCTTACTCCTCCTTTTTTTTTACTCCTTATGCGCCCCCATCTGTATGTTCCCAGTGTAAAATTTTCTTATTCCTCTTTTTTCTCCTCCTTATACCTCCTTATTCCTCCCCCATCTGTCCATCCCCAGTGGGAGCAAAGACAGAAAAGACCAAAGTGGTGAACAACACGGTGAGCCCCGTGTGGAACGAGACGTTTGAGATGATAGTGGACGCGGCTGACGGCCAGTTCCTGTACATGGACGTGTTTGACGAGGACCCGGGCAGTAAGGATGACTTCTTGGGCAGGTGAGAGGGAGGGAGAGGGCGGGTGAGAGAGAGAGGAGGGGAGGGAGGGATGATAGTGGACGCGGCTGACGGCCAGTT